CAAGGCAGACCAATGCAACACAAAAGTATAAATCAAGAGGCTGCGTCCAGCCATGGAGGCATTCTTGCGGAAGCTCTGCGGAAGCGCTGCTCGGGCGTCATGTGCAAGGGAGGTCTGCAGATGGCCTGAAGACGAAGTGGGCAGAAGTTAGTGATAGGCTAGTTAGCTGTTAGTGGCCATGCGCCATAGCCATAGACAGTTAGTGAGTGTGTATGTGTGTGTGCGGTGGTTGGCGTGCATGGTATCCAGGGTGATCCGGAGTCGAGTTGCGTGTGAACTCTGAGTCGAACGTGTAAGTGTGGGCGCCCAGCGCCATAGTCAACTGAAGTAAACTTTGATTTGAGTTGAGTTGCAAACTACCATATCTCCGAGTTTGAGTTGGGTGCACAGCGCCAAGTTATTCTCATCTGTTGCATGCATRTTTGAGTGTGAATCAGCAAGACTGATTTCATTAGAGTTGGAAGTTCCAAATTCGTTGGTCAATCAGCAGGCTCGCCATAGTTTGATCGAAGAGGAGCCTCAAAGACTACAAGCGAAGCAACTTTTGCCGCCTCTTAGTGCTGCGCAAATGGCATGGCAAACGCCGCAGCGTAAGCTGGCAGGAATGTTCAAGATATAGTCCATACCATGGATAAATTCATGGAGAAAGGCATCACATGTTTACTGTAGGTCTAGACGTAGATTCTTCGGAGTCGGGGGGAGTTTTAAAGTTGTCTCTTACCCACTGGGCTATTTGTTGGGAACCCCTATGAATCTTGGTCCTCCGAATTTTCACACTGAGGAACAATCCAAGATTCGGGGCAATCAGCAAAAAAACAAAGTTGTAATTCAATTGTCATGACGTTGAATATTTGGAATCGTTGATTACAACGAGTAGGATCCTCAGAGGCTATATGCCCAGCAACCGTTTTATCCATCTGGTTGAAGATATAGTCCGATGCCATTAGGAAACTAGTGGTTGAATTGACCCGAGCTTATTTCACTGCAGCAACCATGGTTATAGCGGTGCCAACTGAAATCAAGATATTTAGTTGGATCACCACTATGTGGGGAGGTTCAATACAATTAAAAACACCTATGTTATTYGYTGTAGGATTCATCTTCTTGTTTACCATAGGAGGACTTACTGGAATTGTATTAGCTAATTMTRGTCTTGACATTGCTCTACATGACACTTATTATGTAGTAGCACACTTTCATTACGTACTTTCTATGGGAGCCGTATTCGCTCTATTTGCAGGATTCTACTATTGGATAGGCAAAATCTTTGGACTTCAATATCCAAAAACCTTAGGTCAAATTYATTTTTGGATTACTTTCTTTGGTGTGAATTTGACTTTCTTTCCTATGCATTTCTTAGGTCTTGCGGGCATGCCACGCCACATTCCGGATTATCCAGACGCTTGTGCCGGATGGAATGCACTGAGTAGTTTTGGCTCTTATCTTTCTGTTGTAGAAATTTTAGTTTTTTTGTGGTTGTTTATCTCACTTTAACCAGTGAAGTGCGCGCTCTGCAAGCGCCTTGGCAAGTTGAGCCAAATTCAACTACACTTGAATGGATGGTACAAAGTCCTCCAGCTTTTCATACCTTTGAAGAACTTCCAACTATCAAAGAAACAAATAACAACATTGAAATTCAAACATATTTGTTGTTATTTTACTGTTAATTAAAGTCAAGAAAGTAGTCCGTTTTTCTTATTTAAATTGCATTGCCCCCAACTTGCGGGCAACGATCACCAATGTCTCTTTATATACGGGAGCATATATAATATGCGTTGGCAAAAGAAAAACTCCGAATTCGCAGTTCGGGGATGCACGTTGCACATACTAATAATGATTGGAGTCTCCATCAGAGAAAGCGGTACTTTTCCACATTGATTTGATTTATTAGTGGACATAAGATGATACCAAAACAAACAAAAGAAATATATATTTGATGATTATTAAAATAAACACTTTAAAAAAAAAAAAAAAAAAAATTGTGTTACTTCATGGTGAATATAGTCTGCTAGAATTTCCTCCATTCCTACATGCATATGCTAAAAAAGTAGGATATTTAACAAAATCAAAGTGAAAACAATTGCTAAAAGTATAGTTTGGAATTAAAAAAGCAGCAGTAATCCGTTGAAGAAGTGAATGTGTTTATCTTTCTCTATTAGCTTTCATTCGTTCACACCTTTTTTTACGACAAAGAGAATCTCAAGATATTCAATGTAACTAGACAAGTTGCAAAAAAAAACATAATAGTTCCGGAAGTGTACACTTTTGATAAATCTAAGCTGTGCCTTAAATCCCACAATAAATGTCGAATTTTGTTGCTCATACGATAGCATAGTGCTAAGAAAGCTAAATTGAACAAACTGAAGATTAACCATTGAAAATAACAAATGAAGTAAAAAGCAAACAAATAAAAGTGATGAAAAGTCAGAATAAGTTCACAAATTTTGACAAAAAGAATACTAAATAAAATAGTAGTAGCTAAAAAAACACCACAAATTCTATGAAAAATAGAGAAAGTAGACGTTAATTGTGGCTTATAAATAGTAATATGAGGTGATAATGGCCGATTGATTTTCATGTCAATTTACTCTGATTTTGACTCGAAGTGACAGGATTCGAACCTATGACCCTCTGTACCCAAAACAGATGCGCTACCAGACTGCGCTACACCTTGTTATGTTCAATTGGTAATTCAACTAGCCGACTAACTAAGATTGGATTGACTGGAACTGGTAAACTCATTGTTGTAGGTTCAAATCCTACATTCCAAAAATTAAGCCATAATACAAAAACAGAGTTTGATCCTGGCTCAGAATGAACGCTAGCGATATGCTTAACACATGCAAGTCGAACGTTGTTTTCTCAGTTGAAAACAAAGTGGCGAACGGGTGCGTAACGGGTGGGAATCTACCAAACAGTTTGGGAAAAATCCCAAACAGTATAGATAGTCAATTTAGCGTGATAGTCAAAGTTTTTAGCGTTGTTTGATGAGCCCGCGTAGTATAAGGTAGTTGGTTAGGTAAAGGCTGACCAAGCCGATGATGCTTAGCTGTTTTTTTCTGATGATCAGCCACACTGGGACTGAGACACAGCCCAGACTCCTACGGGAGGCAGCAATGGGGAATCTTGGACAATGGGCGAAAACCTGATCCAACAATATCTCGTGAGTGAAGAAGGGGATTTATCTTGTGAAGCTCTTTCATCGTTAGTGAGATTATGACAAAAACCATGATCCAGCAATATCGCGTCAGATGTTAGTGGTTGTAAAGCTCATTTGGGCAAGATTCCACTCTGCAAACAGACCCAACAAATGATTCTATTTTTATTTTGATTAGTTAGATGTACAACCACTAACATCTGACAGACAAGATATTTTAGAACTGTTTTCTGTTCATTGTGCTTCTGTTTGCGAACTAGTTAAAGTCAAAGTAGTTTCGTTTGTAGGAACCTGAACTTACCTGTTGGACCCAAATGTATGTACTATCTGACGCAACCACCGATTAATTAGTTTAATTATTATAAATCGGTCTGTGCACTACGATGTGGTAAGCATTCAAGAGTAACTTAATGCAGATTGTGTACAGTTTTGTACCTTATGAGCGATAGGGATACCACTAGTGAGGACGACCGGATCTTGCGATCGGCTAGATGCATGATTGCCCATGTGGCATTAGGACCCGAGGGTGATAGGTTACTGTTCCGCTAGCTTAGGGAGAGGCAACAACAGCGGAGAGCTAGGGCAGCGGAGGCCAGCAGGGCATTCGCAAGTGAAGCCGTTGTTTGAGCAGCCATGGCAACTGCTGCGCAACAAAATTCATAGGCCAGTTAAGGGGCCGTAGGGTCAACGGTCGCGCAAACCTTGAGTCAGTCCACTGGCGTCATGGCAAGCCAGCCATTAGTGTTGACTTCCGATGAGATCGCCATACAACAGGCAACACTGCAGGAGGCACAACTACAGAAGGTCTTAGGAGAGATAAAGGCGGAGAAGGAAAGAATGATTAGAAGAAGAGCCAGGATGCAACGGAGACAAGTGAACGTCAGTGAGTTAGGGGGAATGGACCTGACGCGCATGGATGCAGACGTGAGGACGTTGCGGACAGTCCTGCTAGGTGTTGTAGAGATGCAGGACCACCACACGACTCTCCTTCATGACATCCAGCACAGTCTGGCCTTGATGGTCGAGCGAGCACAGGCAGCACCATCGTTGTTTGGGCCTGGTGCCTGGCCCGTTGTACAACGTCCTCCTTATGTCCCATCGGTGATTGGGGTATCCCCATATGTCTCCCCAACATCGGTCCAAACCGTTTCCCTGGGTATGCCATTAGCAAGAGGGTTCTCAGAAGGTCCTAGTGTACAGGTTCCTGTACGGACAGTGATCTCCCAGCCTCCGTCGCAGGTTGCCGTAAGCGGGCAGCCTGCCGTCTCGCAACCTGCACAGCCGCAAGGTACACAACCCCAGCAGCAACTAGTGCAGCAGCCTGGACCACAGGGTCCACAGCCCAGAATGGTGCAGGTACCGGGACAAAGTCAGTGGGTTCCAAAGACGACCATTGCTGCTCCTAAACCCTTTACAGGGGATAAGAGGGGCGAAAACCTCGACATATGGTTGACGGCAGTGCCAGTCTATGTTAAGTGTACACTTACCTTGCCGCACGAGGAAGTGCTTGTGGTTGCGTCCTATCTAGAGGGGAGTGCAACAAGATGGTTGAGTGGGTTTAGTGCAGGTGCAGGGATACGCTTATGACTTTCGCGCTTGGGCAGTCAACCAGAAATTGGATGACTTCCTCGAGATGGTGGAAGACGGGTGGCATGATCCTCAGGAGGCCCAAAAGGCCACTGATGCGATTTTGACTCTGCATACTAGGCAGTTTAAGTCAGTAAGAGAAGCCACATATGCAGTAGAGCGTCTGATCTGTGTCCCTGGTTGCCTTATGACCCCCAGGTTTTACTCACCTCCTACCTGAGATGCTTTCCTATGCCTCACAGGAATCAATTGGCAGGTGAGGCCAACATCAACATGCACAACTTCCCCACGTTTAGCAAGAAGGCCCTAGACCTAGAAGCAAAGATAGGGCATGGTCAGACACCCACGACGGATGGTAGGAAAAAGTCACTGCCTTCCAACTGGAAAGCGAAGGGACGCATCATGTTCGTCGACAACGATGGTGCCACCATCGAGTTGGACGACGACTTCCAGGCGGGGGTGGGTTCAGAGGCTGGCAGCGTAGAAGCTTCAGGGGGTGGAGTAGTTGCTGCTGTAGCTCAAAAAGGTAAGGCGACCGGCAGACATCGTGGAGGTTCCCGGTCTAGGAGTCAGGTTGACTGCAATGCTCCATGAGAGAAAGCAGGTCTTAGTGAGGACGTGTGGAGAGATCGGTACACGAGGCAGGTTTGTATCCGTTGTGGCCATTGCGGCCATAACCAGTTCAAGTGTCGAAACAAGAAGGTGACCGAAAAGATCCCGCCTACGATGGGGCAGGTGTTGGGATCCCCCGCTCTCGTTGGCAGCAATGTGGCCAGCAGTTTTGGCACTGCTCCGGGAAACGCGTCGGGCCAGTAGGAATAGTAGTTGTTCCTGCTAGGGTCTAGGTGGTGGACACACCCTCCCCATCTCGAGAGATGGCCCGAGCTACTGACTCCATCGTCGTCCCGCAAACACATTCAGACCCATCGAGCCTATGTTCGGTGAATGTGTTTGAATCCGTAGAGGAGCTAGAGGAGGAGTGGTCTGGATCAGAACCCCTAGCTTCTTGGACGACATTAGCTAAAGCCCCTAAGGGAGAGATGTTCGTCGGCGAGGTAGTCATCGGTGGCCGCAAGGTCGGGCGTATTACGTTAAGAGACTGCGCTTACAGGGGCAAGTGCAGCGCCTGAGTCGACCTGTGGAGTCAACCTGTGCCAACAAACAGCGCATGGTAGTTAATGACTACCTCCAGGATGTTGAGTGTTGTTTCCAGTACGCGGAAGGGGAACTGGGACATCACGTCTCGTTCCTAGTCGACGATGATCTCCCAATGAATATCCTCTCGATTGCACAGCCCCAGTTTGACTGGCACCGAAAAGTGGTCAAGCACATTTTGCCAGGTGGAGGGACCGCCAGATTACGAAGTTTAAGGCTAGTAGTTCGATCGAGCCCTACGGATGCATGTGTGCCGCCGCGTTTTACAAGTATTATAACCAAAATCCGGAGGAGGGTATGTATCTAGTTTATGTCTCTGCAGCAGGCGAGCCAGTGAAAATGCCGCCAGAGATAGAGGGAGTAGTTGCTAAATACCCTGATCTGTTTGAAGAGCCAACAGGCGTTGTCGAGAGGGAGGTCGTCCACTGGATAGTGATTATACCAGGGTCTAGCATTCCGAAGGGTAGGATCTATCGGATGTCTCCAGGCGAGTTTGACGAGCTTCGCCGACAACTCAAGGAACTCGTAGAGAAGGGTTAAATCCGGCCGAGAATCTCCCATTACGGATCTCCAGTCTTATTTGTGTTGAAGAAAGGGGGGAACTCTGAGAATGTGCATTGACTATAGGGGCCACAATGCCATCACTGTCGAGAACCGAGAGCCCTTACCACACATCGACGATGTGCTAGATAGAGTGCAAGGGTGCCGATACTTCAATAAGATAGATTTGAAGTCCGAGTGCAATCGGCCCGGGGATCAGCACAAAACCGCTTTTCAGACCAGGTATGGTTTGTACGAGTTTGTGGTGATGCCTTTCGGCCTTTGCAATGCTCCTGGCACCTTTCAGCACGCTATAAATCGGATCTTTTATGACTACTTGGACAAATTTGTCATCGTGTACCTCGATGACATACTTATTTTTAGTAGGATTGTCGAGGAGCACGTTGTCGAGCGCATCGGTCCGGCACCGCACAGGGTAGCACGGGACCCTCCCGGCCGCGTCACGCAGGAGTTGGTCTAATTCCTCGTCGCAAATATACATGGAGCTTCCGCAAGCCGCTCCRGSCGAGTGCGCCAGCCATACCTCTCGCGAGCCCCTACGACAGGATAGGGCCTACGCGAGGCACGACTTACCTCCACCTTACGCGAGCTGTCACCTCCCTTCGGTGGGCGTATCCCCGCCGAGCTACCAGTCCACATTACGAAAGCTAATCAGGTGCAATCGCAGAGGTGGACCAGTTGAGGGCGTTTCTCGTTCGTTGTAGCATAGGGGGTACATGCCGTAATACGCCTCTATCGTACCCGCACGCGAACCGACATCTTGGGGGCTGAGGTCCCAAGCGCGACTTGTCGCCGGTCGACTAGGACGCATCCCACACGCCACGCGCACACCACTATAAAGAACATAAAAATAAAACGCACACACGCACATATACAGAACAACACAGAACAAACAACACGACAACACTCCTAGTCCCTCAGTAGTCGTCCCATAACTCTCCGATCCGAAAATCGGATAGGCGACGCGTGCGAGACCTACTATAAAACCGCGCGGACGCAGGGCTATCTCATATCGACTCGCAATGCAAGCATACGCAAGCAGTTGCAATGATGGCGTACTGTATCGACTCGCAATGCAAGCATACGCAACCAGTTGCAATGATGGCGTACTATGTAGTACCCATACTCATGCGGCCCTCGTTAATCTTGAGGGTCGCATTCGACACTCAAGTGTCGGCTGACACTCGCCTTGAGGGATTGATCTCTCGACGCTGGACAACCGCCAAGTGCGGTTGAAAACCACACCCTCTTCTGCACCCTCCGGAGAGTGGGTGGTACACAAGTTCATACTTGTGGTGGCAATCGTCTCTTATGGCCCTGGAGACCAGCTCTATCATCCAAGGTCTGGAAAGAAGTCAAGGGTTTTGACTTTGACGGCTGCCACAGACTACAACGTCCAACTATAAAAATTACCAAGCAAAATCAATCAATAAATAAATAAATATCCCATCACTCACATATCAAATCAGGATTCGAGATAAAATAAAAGAAGGGGAAACATAGACCCAGCAGGTATGCAGATCGTGCGTCACATGGTTGTCATTCTCACTGTCTCCAAAGTATGGTCCATATACCAGGTTCCAAATACTAACCTGCATAAAACACAGGCACACACAATAGCCACATTGCCATACACCAATGTGGTCAACTTTACTGCTTCCTGTAACTCACACCACGCCTCACACACTCAAGCCCTAATCATAGTTCAAATCTCCATAAATCTCACATGTTCTTGATAATGACCATTAAAATAAATCCGATTAAAACCCTCAAAGAAACATATCAAATCTCAGGGCCAAGGCAATCAAGTTGAGGTACAGGTGAAAGCGAAGTTGTGTCGTGAGCCGGCAAGTCGACGATCAACCAACCGACCTGTTTATTTGTGATAATAGAAGATTATCCTTGTAGGATCAAGCTGGAACTTGTCAAAATCCTGGATTGAATGTTCATAGGAGACTTGTATCATACGATATGTCAATGTCCAAGCTAAATCGTCAATGTATGGAGATCCAATCCCCATGACACACTCTCACTCAAGACTCTCCTGACAACCAGGCCTAGGACTATCTCTAAGCCAGCGCCCAAAGAAAGGTCGACCTATGGCAGAATCTCCCCCATACAGAGTGGATCGCCAGAGTCGCCACCTGTCAAAATATAATCTATCTCCTCTAAACCAAGAAAATTTCGGCAGCGCTTCTCGTAGGAAAAGTGCCTTTCCAGAATTTATATCAGCCTAAATATGAAAACATAAATAATCTTAAACCTTCCAAAGTCAAATTTTGTCTAACTTTCTGAATTAGCAAAAAATTGGGCATCACTCCTTTTAGAAAAGGAGACTTCTCAGATTTTTACTAATCCATATATAAAAATCAGACAAGGTGAACTTTTGAAAAGTCAAATTTTGACGAACTCCTTGGGTTTGCAGAAATTTCAGCAGGGCTTCCCGTAGAGAAAGTAGCTTACCAAAATTTATACAAAGCTAAGTTCATAATTTAAAATGATTTTGACTTCTCAAGGTCAAATTTTATCTAACTCCCTGAATTAGCAAAAATTTGGGCAGCACTCCCTTTAGAGAAGGAGACTCTCCAGGTTCTTACTAAGTCTTATATAAAAGTCAGACGAACTGAACTTTGAAAAGACAAAATTTTACGAACTCCTTGTTTTTGTATAAATTTCGGCAGCGCTTCCCGTAGGGAAAGTAGCTAACCAAGATTTATACAAGACCAAGTATAATAAATGATCCCAGAAAATGCGGAAATCGACCTTAGTAAAAATAAACTTAGCCCAAAAAATGCAGAAATTGAAACTAACTCCTATGGCTCTAGCACGTGGCGAGCAACCAAAGCATTTACCTATCAACTTGAAACTCAAACTAAGTAGTGGTCACACTCAGTCACATGCAGGCCAAACCACAAGGGTAAGTAGTCTTACCATTCCAAGTCCACTTATATAAAATAGTTCATGAACCTTCAGGTAATTCAACCCTTATACCCAACTTACATATGGTATAACGCTAGACCATTCGGCTTGGAAACAATGCCCAGCCCCTTAAGATATACGCAAACAGGTTGCACAACTACTTCTTTTTCCTTTGGGCATGTGACTAGACCATTCCAATCGCCCTGAACTGTTTAATATCCAAAATTTACTAACTTTTTGACTTTGTTCTCAAAGGAAATGAAAATATGGGCAGGGGACTGAACCATTCGGCTTGGAAACAATGTTCAGCTTGCCCTGATTTTTTCCAATTATACTCTGTATTTTCCCTTCTCTTCTTAGTGATATGGCTTAGCGTTGGACCATTCGGCTTGGAAACAACGCCCAACTGCCAGTTCACATGCAAATATAAGTAAAATACTTTCTTTTATACTCAGGTTGTACTTATGTGCGTGGTTTTCAGGCTTAAGCCATTCAGCTTCGAAACAATGCTCAGCCTTAGACCAAAATCCTCCCTCAGAACAAAACAAAAAAACCCTTCACATCAGGCAACCCTCAGAAAATAAACATAGCAACCAGGCCATTCAGCTTAGAAACAATGCCTAGCCCTTCAGAAAACAACCAAATAAACTAGCCCTGGGCCATTCAGCTTAGAAACAATGCCCAGTCCTTGGTTGATCCGGTCAAACGCATGCAGTCTGCCTTCCTCCCATCTTCCCTCTGTTCACCCCTTAGTCTGCTTTCAGCCAAAAATAAAGATGCAACTTAAACTTTACTCTCATGCATTCCTTCCATTCAATCTGATTATATCCTGTAAGAAAGCAAGATCATAGGGGCAATCTCATGCATACATCAACTACAGGGACATAGTCA